GAGTAATTTAAAACATTGTTAGAAACTATCATCTACACTACCACTTGGAATCACTGTTTCATACATTGTAAAGATTTGGAATCCTAAGACTTCTGCCAAAGCTCTAGTACTTGAAAATAAAAGTAGTGATAGTTGTTTAATTTCATGAAAACATTTACTTTTTGGTATGTTTTGTTAAGAAATTGGAACTGCGGCTGAGATGGGTGGTCACCCACCAAATCCTCCTCCCTCTGCACAGGAGCAGAGCTGTGCGGGCCTGGGGCCCAGGTGGCCTCTACCACACAGTTATGTCTCTGTGACTGTCTTCACCAACAGAGTAAGAGAAGGGGTTTGTGTGATTTCTATTGTACAGCTGAGGCCTGGGCTCATCTACGCTCTTCTTCTTATGAACTAGAACTTAGCCTACCTAGGACCCACCTTCAATGACACAATTGGGAACAAATTTCTCAGGGATGATGATCTCCTGGAACTGCTGTACCAACATGGACTACTCACTCGGCACTGCATTTAAAGGAGAAATAAGTCTATGTTCTATATAGTACTATATCTATCGTTGAGTCTTTGTTAAAGCAGCTTAGCCTTTCCATTACCTAACACACATACGTTGTATCATATTGGAGTTATTGGTTGTCAGGAGGAAATGGTAATTAAGCTTTATGAATGCAAGAACGGGAGCTACATTTTTCTGTTTAAAAGAAATCTCACTTAGTTAACATTTCTGAGATGATATTTCAGCAAGAAAATTGACATATATAGCTCACATTTTTTTACATTTTTAATTAACTGAATTTGGATCTACAGGGAAAGAATAACAGTATATTTCAAGATGCTGAATATCTCCAACAGTTACAAAAAACATTTTAAGTAATTGCCTTGGTATTGTATGTCCTCACCATTTTGCAACACAGGAAGAAAACATTCTTGATGAAGACACTTTGAAAGGAATAAAATTAAAGATATTAATGTTGTTGCAAGTTTGTTTTAAACTTGAAATGAGAAATTTGAAATAGCAAGGAAAAGCATTTGTATAAAAGATCCATTTGTTTTTCAAGATCCTAAATCCACCTATGATGCCCAAAGAGGGAAACTAATTATTAATGCTTCTTTATTAAAATACATTGAAGAATGATTGTAAACTTATTACCATTTCAAATTAGGATTAAAGAAGAATTTGCTGAAATTTGCAATTTCAATTGCTCAGTAGAGTATGTTGTTATTAATAGCATCCACAGAAACTTATTTGTGTGAACCAGAATTTTTAACGAACGTAACTAAAAACAGTGGGAAGAAATAGACATCAAAGCACAAAAGCACCTAGGTTGTGCATGTAGCATTGTTCTCACATCTCCAGCCTTGAATGAATTTAATAACAGCCAAGCGTGCCTGCAACGATGAATAAAATCATAGCTCATAGGAACTCTATCATATGTAACAGTAAGTATTGTTTTACAAATTTCTGTTTCCATTTTTAATCTATTTATACATTATCTATGTGTATTAGTAGGGATGATAAAAAGGTTATTTTCTACTGTGAGCTGATGTTTTAAAAAAAGATGTGTTAATGATTCTTTCACTTTTCTTCCTAGCCAGCATCTTGAATAGGGTGTTCATACATATGTTTCTACCTGTTCTCAATCCTCTGCAACAGGCTCTCTGCCCTCCTTGTTATTCTGGGGCAGGCTTTATAACTAAAGTCTCACTTGTATTAGATCCTTTTCTGTGTTTATTTTGGTCTTTTCTGCTGCTATTGACCTTGTTGCCTGATTATTTTTATTTCATTTTTCCACTACCTTAAAAAATCACTTTGCAATTATAAAAGTAAAAATGATTAAGGGAAAAATAAACTCACTGATAACCCCAACAGATATAAGCACTATTAATATTTCATGTTTGTTTTCCAGTCATGTATGTACATATTTTTGACTTATGTATACATCTACATCAAATATTTAAATAATAAAATTGAAATCATTTAGTACATAGCATTTTACAATCTTCTTATTTAAATACATAGAAACCACATTTCATGTCATTCAAAATTCCTCTCCCACATTATTTTTTGTTAATTTTATTTTAAATTTGTTTACATTCAATATTATTTTGTTTTGGTTTCAGGTGATCCACAGTATTCTCCAAGGCTAGATAGTATTCTGCTTTAAGTATACATGCATCATAGATTATTTATCCCTTTCTCTAATATTGGACATTTATTTAAATAGTTTTCAGTTTAAAAAAAATTATTGAACGACACATTGAAATCCTTGTAGAAAAATTTTACCCACTTCCATAATCAGTCACTCAGGACAACTTCTGGAGGTGAGATGGCCGGTCAGAGCCCCGTGGATGCTGTGAACACAGCCAGACCCCTGCAGGGTTGTGGACCAAGTTACTCTCCCCCCAGCACAGTGACAAGAGGGCCTAATTGGCCAGCTTCTTACTAACTAGGCAATAGCACTTAATTTGATTGATTAAAAAAATTTTATTTTATTTAAAAGTTTGTGCTTTTTATTAATTAATAGGTGCTTGAACACTTTTTATAAATTATAAGTCAATTGTATTTCTTCCTCTCGGAACTGACTTCATAGTCATTGCTTTTTTAAGAGTGTTGCATGTCTTTTAATACTTCGTAAAAACAATTTTTACAAAGGTATTAAAACTTTATATCTGTGAAATGGGTATATTTTTTCTAGTTTGTATCTTAAGAAAATTTGTTTTTAATTATAAACATTCTTAAAGAGTAAAAAATATAAGTACACAGAAAATTAAAAGGTAATTTACTCTTTCCTCCTTTGATCTACCCATCAGAGTGTCATTTGCCTTTTAATTTCATATGAAACATTTGAAATTAACAGGTTCTACATATGGAAATAAGCAGATCTATTTACCTTTCTTCTTTTTTGTCAGTTTCTGCCTTAGTTGGTTGTTAGAAATAATCTTAATGCAGTCAAATAAGTATACCCACATTTTCATCTAAACCTTTTATGGTTCAGTTATTAAATTTAACTTTTTAACACATTTGAAATTTATTTTTCTATATTGGATGAAGTTGTGAACTCTATTTTCCCAGCTAACAGTGTAATCTGACATAATTATATTATCTACTACAATGTTTATAATAATAATAGGGTTTTTTGTTGTCGTTTTGGTTTTCTGTAGCACTGGAAAGAAACCTTTTTTTAAAGCCATGGTTTCCTTGTGATGTGCATGGTGAGCAGGACACTTGGGGGCTGGCATTTTGCAAGTTTTGCCTCCTTAGTACCAAGGGGGCTTAAGAAGAACTCTGAAACAACACCCCTCCCCCAGCGCTCTTGGACACCCCGCGGTGACACTCCCTTTCCTGGCTGCCCTCCCACACCCCAGGTTTCTGATGGCTCCTCCTCAACCTCCTCTTCAGGCATTTGCTCCTCTGCCCATCGTTTGAGGTTGAGAGGTCCCCAACCTTCTCCCTGGCTTCCAGCTCTTCCCATTCCATCCTCTGCCTCCCAGGAAACTTTGCCAAACCCTAGGCATCAAAAATTCTTAATACTTGATGGCATCCAAATCCTCACTGCTACCACAGAGCCCTATTCTGAGTTCCTACCGACAGGTAACACGCCCTATGGTTATCTCATTATCATTTCAACGTGAACATATTTAAAACGCACCCCTAAAATCCCGGATTCCGAACTCTTCTCTCCCTCTCTTTAACTCGGAGGACGGGTCACCATCCTCCCATTTTCCCAAACAAGAAATTTGGAAGTCATTCCCTATGCTACCACACCAGGGGTTAATCCTACTGCCCCTACTCCCTAAATACGTCCTGTTGTATTTTCCTGACTGCCTTTCCACCCCTCTCATTGGCTTAACTCATTTCGAGGTAACTGCAGACTCTTCTTCCCGTCCTCCCAGCAGCCAGTCCCTTGCTCTGCAGTTTATTTGCCTCCCTATCGCTACATCTGCATTTTTAAAGCAAAAGCATTACACTTCGAATCGTTTCTTAGTTCCCACTCACAGCTTTCAAAGCAGGGGGAAAAGGAGATTTCCAATGAGATTTCTGCTTTTCTCCCCCTTTCCTTAAACAACCATCCCAGGGCCTCCATGCGTGAACGACTTGAAGTGACTGAAACACGGGGTGCTCTCTAAAGATTTGGGGCCTCAGCTGGCCACCCCGGTCGCTCCCAAGTTCAGCCTAAGGGTTCTTCATTGGGGAAGCTTTCCTGGTCCACCCTTTCCCACCCACTCCCGAGTCAGATGGCCCTTTGCTGCTTGGGCCCCAGTGCGCCCCCTTCCCTTTTCTCAGAGGATAGCAGTTTAGCACAAGAAAGGAAAGGAAAGGGAAGGAAGGGAAGATTTTATAAAAGGGTTTTGGATTCAAGATGTTTTGAGTCCAACTCTCTTTGGTTTGGGAAGTAACTTATCCTCTCTGGGCTAGGTTTCTTCGTGTGTATAATGGGGATCTTAACCCCTGTGCACACACACGAGAGAGAGAATGCTGCATACGTGTTGGGCAGAATCAGTCTAATCACAGGTAGCACTTCGGCCAAGCACCGAGAGTGGTACCGAGAGTGGCCCAGAGGGGCTGATCATTAAATAGGTAAAGGACAGAGCAGGGGGTGGGACGGGGAGGACAGCGGAGAGGCCCCTCCCCGCTGGCTGCCCGCCGTGATCAGACGCTTCTTAGGGCCGAGCCCTGCCAACGCCCGGCAGCAAGCCAACTCAGGACATCCGCCTCCACCTTTCCGCGAAGGCTCCCTGCCCCAGGGGCCGTTCTCTGTGGCTCGGTCTGGCGAGCGCCATTCCTGCCCCTAACCCCGAGCCCACCGTCGCCGCCGCCGCGCGCGCGGAGCGCACCTGACCCGGAGAGCGGACGGGGCGGGGCGACGGGACTGACGTGGCCCGCGGCTTGGAGCGGGCGTGATTCATCAGCCGCCGCACCGGGGCCGGATGCTGGCGAGCGCTGCGGCCGCCTAGGCGCATAGGGCCAGGCAGCAGCGGCGGCGGCTTTCACCGTCCGGCCTCGCGCGCTTCTCTCGCTGTCGGCTGCCGAGCCCCTGCGAAGGTCAAGATGGAAGAGATCTTGAGGAAGCTGCAGAAGGAAGCGTCCGGGAGCAAGTACAAAGCCATCAAAGAGAGCTGCACCTGGGCCCTGGGTAAGCGCACGGAGCGGGGCGCGGGGCGCCAGGCACCTGCTGGCGGGTCGGGCACCCCTGCTGGCCGCCCCCGGAGGGCCGCGCGGGCTGAGGCTGAAACGGCCCTGTGCGTTGGGGGCTTTTGCTGAGCATCTGTTATGCATGCATTTCGCGCAATTGCGAGAGTTGCCTCCGTGAACTCCTGTGTGATACGAGAATCTTGGTTCAGGTGTTGACAGACGCCCACCACCCCTCTGGTCCGCGTATCTTCTCGCAAACCTTAGTGGGGAACCTCTGTCCTCCACGCCGGGCGGGTCCCTTCTCCAGATCCCTAGCACAGTGGACCGTGGTCAGCCGTCTCTGAGGGAGACAGGACCACAAGCCGGTGCGAATCCAGGGGCCCAGTTCTGAATCGCCTGTTGGGGAGACGGAAGTTGGACCATCAACCCTGATCTCGACACACTGTCGAGTGTAACCAGGAAGGGATGGCTGTTTAATTTGATTTTCCTGATAGAGGCCAGCTTGTTAAGTATCAGCTTTCATTTTTATTGTACATGAAAAATAACATACGGGTGGGATTGTGTTGCCTCTGCAATTCTATTGTGGTCTGCCCTTCAGACAGGTGGGATGGAGATTTGTGAGCTGTGCAGGTATTGAAATAAGTTCCAGGTAGCAAATTGGTGTTTCCCATCAGACTCAGGCTGCAGAGCAACCTCGGAGAAAGGGGAAACACATTGCAATCAGGCAGTGATGTGGGCAATCAAGATTGGATGGGAATGCAAAGAGATCAGGAACGTACTTCAGGTGACAGCGATGCTTTTGTAAAAGGAAAGGCCAAGGAGAAACCGGGGCAGCTCTGTGGGCCCTGGGCTTTGCCCAAGTCTGCATGCGATGCCTCATTTGCCACTCAAAACATAAAATTGAAATCCTTTCTCTCTCAACCTAAAAATAATCAGTGCTTGTCACATTATACTGTGATACAGCCTGAAAAGAGAGAGAAGTGTAGAATTCTTACGGTGTTTTAGATGACTCTGTTAATATTTAAGACTGAATTCACATATGTTTAGGGCTGTGTGTACAGACAATCATAGTGACATGTTTTTTGTTTTGTTTTGTTTTTTTTACAGCTGCATATTTTCACTTTATTTTCTAGAATATTATCTAGGAAGTTGATCTTGTAGGCAGAACCAGAACTTGACCATTTGTTTAAAGAAAAACGGACCAAATACATGTGTGAGCAGCAAGGCTCTTAAAGCCACAGTACTGTTTTTGTATTGCCATTGTCGTTCAGAAGAGTGATTCAGAACTAGATCTCCAAACGCCTGTACTGAAAGGTCACAGATGGCTGGGTAACATAATAAAGCAGGGCCCGACTGCACGCTAAACATGTCATTCCTTGTAGTCATTATTATTTTGCTGTAAGTTAAGCAGATTTTGATAAAAGGGAAGAGAAGAGTATTCTAGTATTTTTAATGTTTGAACTTTGATGTTCAGCATCCTGCTAATTTAAACAGCAGTGTTGCTGAGTTTTGGTCCTTGGAGCTACCTGGCAAGACCAGAGCTGAGGCAGGTAGCTTGTGTAAGTCAAGAGCCTAGAGTCCAGCCTGACTAAAAAGTAGAGAGATTTTCTTTCTCTAGTTAGCAAGATGAGATGTGTGTATATGAAAGGGTTAAATAACAGCGCAGGGCATTCATTGTGTAGGCTGGAAGGAGTAAACTGGGAAAACAGATCAAAGAAGTGGGGTAGACTTTGAGGTTAAGGGGGTGGGGGACAGGAAGAGGGGGTGAGCTGGTGGGACTTTTGAAGTAGATTTGATTTGAAGAATGGATAAGCTCTGGGAACCTTCTTTTCCTTAGGTATTTATTTAGTATACATTTATTTATTAAGACCTCCCCTGTCCTGGGCAGTGATATATAAGGATAAATAAAATACTTCCGTGTAGAATGTTTTTAGAAGGCCATATTAGGGGGAGAATGCAGCATAAACAAAAGCATGGAGCTACGGTTTTCTGTTCTTTTTCCTACTCCAGTCCATGTTCCACTGTTCCATCTCTTTTTTAAAATAAATTTTATTTTGATTTACATGTATTTTTAGAGAGAGGGAAAAGGAGGGCCAAAGAGAGGGAGAGAAAAAGAAACATTAATGAGAGAGAGAAACATTGATCGGTTGCCTCTGATATGGACCCCCACCCGGACCAAACCCTCAACCCAGGCGTGTACCCTGAGTGGGAATGAACTTTTGCTTTGCAGGAGGGCGCCCAGCCAACTGAGCCACACCAGTCAGGGCCATCTTTTTTTTTTTTTTTTTTTTAAATTATAAAATACTTTTCACTCTTCAGCCCTATAATTTCTTTACAGATTAAAATATAAGTTCCTTAAGAACTCTCTTCAGAATCTGGCCCCAGCCTCCTTTCTTATTGTTCCCCCGCCAAGGGTTCAACAGTCTACAGGAAGCTGCAACACTTTCTTGAACACACCGTGCACTGCACACTCCTCTGTCATTGCTCATGCTAGTGCTTCTGCCAGGAATTCCCTTTCCCTCCTCCCAAGACCCAGCTCACACAGGGCATTCCCTGAGCTCCTCAGCTGAATCAGTTGGTCGTCTGGGGTCAGAGCCCTGCCCTCACGACTTTTCTGAAGTACCTGCTCCTTTGGATTATAGTCAGTTATGTGCACAGCTACCATTCCAGGGGCAAGATAATTGAGAAATACATTGTGTTCAAGAAACCAAACCAAAACAAAAAAACCTAATTCAAACTGACTTAAGCAACACAGAATTTATTCACTCTGTTAACTAAATATCCCTTGGAAGGCTGAAGGTTCGGTTTGGTTCAGGAATTAGACACCATTTCAAGGACCTTGCTCTGCTCTTTTTGAGGTATCTGATGTGCTCTGTGTGAGTCTCTAAAGCTTCAGGCTCACAGATCATCACATTAGACCATTTCATGAAAAAGGGATATCAGCACACTTGGACCATCTAAGGAAACAAGGATCATCTTCCACTTCCAAGGGGTGTCCAACCTTTTGAGGTCTCTGGGCCACGCTGGAAGAAGAAGCGTTGCCTTGGGCCACGCTGGAAGAAGAAGCGTTGCCTTGGGCCACACATTAAATACATCACAACATATAATCACACAAAAAAATCTCATAATGTTTTAAGTAAATAAACAATTTTGTGTTGGGCCACATTCATAGCTATCCTGAGCCGCATGCAGCGCGCGGGCCACAGGTTGGACACTCCTGTGTCTTAGACCATCTGAAGGGAAAGCGGCCATCTCTCCCTTGGACCATTATAAGGGACAGGGGTCATAACTTTTAGACTGTCACAGGAGAGAGGAGTCACCTCCCACTAAAACCATTGCAGGAGAATGGGGCCGTCTCTCACTCAGCCCATCATGGGACCCCCTCAAGGGAGCAGAGCTCCTCCAGCCCCTCCTGCCTGACCCTTGGTTTCACTTGATCTCTGCTGGTGCCACTGAGTTGTATGTGTGTCCTTGGACCAGCCCTCTAGTGAAGGCCTGTAATGGGCTAACTGGCCTAGACCTGGGCTACAAGGCTCAGTGAAATCCCAGGGTCAGGAAAGCATGGGATCCTCAAAACAAAAGTAGGTGCCACTTCCGAAGGTGGGGAGTGCATGCTGGTCAACCAGAACGACAAATGGCAACAGTGTGGATGTGAGCTTCATGAGAACAGGGACTATTGCTTATGGTTCTTTGTAGTTTCTATACCTACAGTGTGAGAGGCAGGTGTTCAATAAATAAATCAACAGGTTGATGACTTGAGGTTTAAGTGATATTCATCTTTTTCTACTTATAAGACTTATATGTGTTCATTTTAGAATACTGAAAAATATTTGAACAGTGTAAATGAAAAATTAAAATCACCTATAATCTCACAACCCAGCAATAATACCATATTTTGGAGTATTTTCCTTCTGCAAAGTGTGGTATCATATATGCTGGATTGCCATTTGTATTTTAACTATTTTAACTTTAGCACTTTTTTTAATGTTGTTAATACTTCTCTGAGAATTGGTATTTTTAATAGTGGCATAATAACTGGGAAGGCATATATATGTATCCTCTATTTTGAGCTACCTGGTTTGTTAGATTCTGGAGGCTTGTGAGCTGGGAACGGTAGAGTGAAATAGAATGGCACAGTAGAACTAGAAGGTACTATGCCTTCATTTTAGATGTTTTTTACACTTGTATCAGGGACTTATGAAGAATGAACTGGAAAAATGGAGGCGAGGAGAAAGTTAAGAGACTAGAACACCAAGTAGCAGAAGAAGGATAGTCTATCTACCCACCACTCTCCCTTCCATCTTCCCTCCCAGTTTTCCTTCCAGGCACAGTTTCTGTTCCCTTTACAACCAAACTTCTAAGAGTGTCCGCAGCAAATGTGTCCACATCCTTTACTCACTCTTCAGCTCTCTCCAATCTGACTTTCTCCTCCTTCCTTCTACTGACTCTCAGAGAAGAATACACAGACCTCAATCGAGCACACCATCCCCACACCCACCTTACAGGTCTTCTTGGCCATGAGCATACCAGACACCCGCTTTACCTTGGCCTGCATGACCGTGCCCTGCCAGCCTATCGTACCTCTGGAGCTGCTCTCTTCTTTGCCAGTTCCAGCTCCTTTTCCCAGCTGAATGAAGTGTTTGAGTTTCGCAAGAGTTAGCCCTGAGCGCTTTTTTCTTACTCCCAGCCCAGCTGGAGCTGAACATGTCCATAACCTCAGGATCAGTTTGGTTTCTGAGAATGTGATGCTCAGGTTTGTATCACCAGCCCACACCTGCGCTCTCAGCTCCAAACCCCAATGCAGCTACCTACTCAGCATCTCTACCTGAATGGATGGGCTCACTCTGGCTGCTCTGTGACTTCCATTTCTCTCTTCCTCTTCTTCTGACTCTTTTAGCATTTGTAGAGTTGGGCACGGGGCACTGTTGGAATTTTTGAATTGTGTATAAATCCTTCTGATGGGGAAAATCATGACAATTTGTTTGTTGGGTGCCCGAACCTCCCTGTGGGGAAGTGTCAGGTTGTCCTGGATGCTGGCCCCGCCGTGCTGACCACAGGGCTGTGCTGACCCACATGGCCTTGGAGCTCTTCACTGCCCCTGAAGCTCAGGACTTCGTTTTCTTGTTCTCCTGTCTCATCTTAAGGACTGACCTCAGGCCTTGCTCTGCCTCCCTTGGCCTAGCGGCCACAGCAGCGTGGATCTGACTGGTTCCATCTTTCTGTTTTGTGGATTGCTTTGCTTGCACCAGTGTTTTGCCCGGTTGACCACAACAGGCCCAGGCGCTACCATGATATTTTGGCTGTTCTTGCTGCTGAGTCTTAGGGAGACATCTCGTGTCCATTGTTCCCTCTGTCCTCTGAGCAGGGTTGGGAGAGATGGTCCTCCTCCCCCCGTGAAAATGGCTCAGATCAACAGGGCTTGCTACCTCTAAGCAGTGAAGAGAGGAGTCAATGCAGTTTGAGCTGCAAAACTGGTGACAAATTAGAACTATGGAAATAGAAGAGTTTTTTGTTTTTTTCTTGGAAGAGAATAGTGACCTTTTCATTATCTCCACAATTGGAGACATCAATAGTGTGAGGAATCCACAACAATAGTAAAGTACTGAACATCCAAGTTGAATTAATGAGATTTGGGGAGAGCTTCCCATAATCTAATTATGGTGTGATTTAAAAAAGTTTAATCCACCATGTCATAAATGTGTGCAAGAATAATGAGATGTCACATAAAATACTTTGTGAACTTGAAAGTCCCTCACATATAAACTATTTAAGGGTATTGAAACCATAGTTTCAAGGAAAGAATTTTTCTTTCTCTGTTTTTATTGTAAGAATATATTTTAGTCAGTTGTAACTAGATCAAATTGAAATTCTGGTTTAGGTTAGGAATTTAACTATTCATTCTGTGTCTCCATAGGGAAATACGTCCTAATTTTTAACCTTCCCCAGAGAAGTCTCTGAGGCTATCAGGGGAGAAGTATTTTTAAGTATGAATGATTTACAATCAGAGAATTGAGAATTGACTACTTTATAATTATAGAAATTTATGTTTTTTAAAAAGATTTTATTTATTTTTAGAGAGAAGGGAAGGGAGGGAGAGAGGGAAGCATCAATGTGTGAGTGCCTCTAGCATGCCCCCTACTGGGGACCTGGCCCACAACCCAGGCATGTGCCCTGACTGGGAATTGAACTGGCAACACTTTGGTTTGCAGGCCAGCACTCAATCCACTGAGCCACACGAGGCAGGGCATTTATTGAAATTTCTGGGGGAAAAAAGAAACTAACAGTAAAATTATGTACAATGCAGATTCTAACTTTGTACGTATTTGTTTTTGACCTTGTGATTTTCCTTTTCCAGAAACCCTGGGCAGTGTGGATACCATTGTCAAGATCCCGCCACACTTGCTGAGGTAAGGAGACTGGAGGTGTCCAACAGTGGGAGAAAAATTGCCCACTGTCTTTTCCTGAAAGCCCAGATAACCTCGTTGGTTTGTAGCATGATACTTGCTGACGGATGGCTTTTTTGCATACGTGAACTGGGATAGTTTATGAGGTTGGCATGGTAGGAACCTGATTGCACTGATTTCTGCCTGTCTGTGGAGTAAGGGGAGTCTGTGAGCCAAAGGAACCAGCTGTGGAAGTCAGGGATGAAAGGGTAATGGTCAAGGGGAGAAATGACTATCACCTAAGTGAGGATGTGGACAATGGACAGGGTCTTCTACTGTGGATTAAGGCATGGCGCCCCCTTTGGGAGGGGGATGCGGTCCTACGTGTGTGGTATGGACTCAGTCTCTCACCGGCTCCATGGCTGGGCACACCAAACTTTGCAGCCACACGCAGCAGCCCTGAGACAGTGGACGCATTCCCCTGCCTTCCTCACTGCCCTCATTTTTTCATTCCCCCTCGTCGCGAGAAATGCATGCCCTCTGTGGAAAAGAAAGAACAAATAAGAAAACGGTCCATATTTACACCACCTAAGGATAACCACTGGAAATAGTTTAATAACTTTTGTAACAGACTTTTTTTCTACCTACACACATCTTTACAAATTAATGTGAAATTTTATTTATAAGTTTGTTTCCTCTGTGTGTGTGTGTGTTTTTAAGTCAACATTATATGGAGAATACTTTCTAATGTCAAATGTAAATATATGTTCTTCAAATTAAAATATTACATATTCTTCCATTATATGGCTGCTATCCCATAATTGTATAGTAGCTTTCTTATTATTGGACATTTGGATTGTTTCCAGATTTTCTTTGAGATTATTAAAAATATTGATTTTGCAGTCTTTTGTTGAGTATAATTTCAATACTGTCAGGACACTTATTAGTTTTTTCTCCTCTTTTCACGTAGATTGAACAAGAATTATGTTTCTGTCTTTTTAAAAAATTGATCACTTCTTGTGTAGATCTGAGATCTGCTACAGGCTGATATGTTGTAAGGGAATTCATGTGTTAATCACTTTGCACTTTGGTGTGCATAATGCTTCTGAAGGGACAGCCTGTGTGGCAGCAACATCCTTGCCTAGAGCGGGAGAGTGCCGGCTGGATGAGGTCCCTGCACGCAGGAGAATGCGGAGACTCTCCAGGGCTCACAAAGCGTGGGTAGTTTCGGGAAATGATTCCTGGTCCTCAGCTTCTGTAGGGACCAAAAGGACTTGGCCACATCTTCTTTCCCATTCTCACCGCTTACAGCCACCCTTCCCTGCTTGATAAAGAGAGGCACAGCTGCCAACCACCTCTTCCTGAACCCACAGCGTGTTGTCCTGGACTGCAAAACCCTCTTCCCACCAACAAAGGGCTGTGAAAATACCGGTGTCTCTGTTGGTAAAGGGGATGGACATAATGGCCAGGGCACATGTCTTTTTGTAGGTTAGATTTTACTTCTTGACCTTCAGCAAAATTGAAGGAGGACTTAATCTGGTTGTAAGATCATAGGTAAAAAGACTTTTTGATAAGTCTCCATTTAGTCCTTACTTATGCAAACAAGGTGTCTTACTGCTTACATATGTAAAAGTGAAAAAAAAAGTATGGAATTGATGGTAAACCCTGCTTTATGATAGCAATAAGGAATACTCGCCCATAGGTATATGAACTAATTGAGGAGAACAATAAACTAGCTCTACCCGTTTCTTTAGAGATGCATTTCCAATTAAGTTGTACTTTCCATGTTAACTACATTAAGATTCTTATAAGTAATTATTAATGTCGTTTGGATCAGTTGTGAGTGTTAGTAAGATAGCTCAAACCAGAAGAAAAGTGAACACTTTTAGCCCTGTGGCCACAGGAAATTTTTAAAAAATCACTCTATACACATTGTTGTTGTAGAAATATAATGGGAAGATTAATGAAAGCCTCTCAAACATTAAAATATAATATTGAGAGAAAATTCTGTGGGGAAGTGAAATGGAAATATGAGTTTCAAGAAAAAAAGATAACCATGCGGCCTCTTTTTATTGTTAACAGGGGGCTCGTTCATGTATTTTTTTGATGAATGAAGGTAGTTTTAAAATGGGTGTGGTATTTAGATTTCATTACACACATTTAAATGAGTGATATGTTTTAATTAAAATTTTTAATAATTTCAAGATGCCGGAATTATAGCCTCTGCAATAATTAAAATTATAATTAAAAATTTAAATGTTAATTTAAAATGTGTGAAAACCAGAATTCTAAAATTTTCTTAGAGGCTACAAAAGCAAAAATGTTTGATGCTACTGCTTTATAGCTTGGTTCCCAGCTGAGCCTTGGTGAACCTACATGAGTCTCCTGGTCCCCTGGCTGGGGATGGTCATCAAAAGACAACTGGCATTTTCAAAGCCTTGGTGTGTGTGGCCCGATGAGTTGGATAAAATACAGTGTTAACGGGCCTAAGGACATATGTTTTGTCCTGTTTAGATGTTTAGCTTTATTTCTATCCATGGTTTTGAGGTGTACACAGGAGCCAGCTAGCTACCTTTTTTTTTTTTAAATCTCACCTGAGGATATTTTATTACTGATTTTTTGAGAGAGAGAGAGAGAGAGAAAGAAAGGGAGAGAGAGAGAGAAACATTGACGTGAGAGAGAAACATTTATCGGTTGCCTCCCATATGCACCCTGACTGTGGATCAAACCCTCAGCCGAGGTATGTGCCCTGACCAGAATCAAACCCACAGCCTTTTGGTGCACGGGAGGGCACTCCGACTGCGCCATCTGGCCAGGGCACCAGCTAGCTATAGGAGAGGGTCACAGATGGGTGGGAAGGATGCGGATGAGGAACTGTGGATAAATGAATGTAGGTGTCTTTACTTACCTTCACCGTTAGTGGAGATATAATTCAGAGTTTTTATTCTATGATAAAGAGCAGGTGATTCCATTGTTGTATACGGAGGAACATGCATTATTGTATTTCAGCTGTGCAGTGAGGTCCGTCAAGCATTCTTTTTCAGAGAATGGAATCTTATGAACGAAACTACAGATGTGAGCCTTGTACTCAGAGATTTTGTATTCTCAGGGAGGAGAATGAAGACACACACAGCTGGAAAACACTGTTATAAGTTTGCGGGTATAAATTTATTGTAGAATTTTATCCATATATGGAAATTTCAGTTTGACCATGATATAGTTGGGAGCCTTTTAAAAACTCATTTAGGGTATGGGAATAAGCCATAATTAAAAGAAAAAAAGAGTTATTGAATCAGTAATGGTCTGATTTACTATTTTACTTTATTATGAGGGAAGTGGTATAATGAGAAAGTATATAGTAATGGGCTATTTTACCTCTTGCAAATCAGTCCTTTACCTTTGATTCATCTTTCAGGTACTTAAAAAAATTTTTTTTAATTGGTTTTAGAGAGAAAGAGTAGGGGAGAGAAAGAGATTGTTTGTGCCCTGACCTGGGATTGAACCTGCAAATTTGGAATATCGGGACGATGCTCCAACCAACTGAGCTACCCAGCCAAGGCTTCCCAGTACTTTTAAACCCAGAGAGAACTTACTCTGTCCAGTCATGTTTTTTTAAATTAAATTTATTGGACAGACATTATGTTTAATATTCCAACTTATTTGAACATCTGCTCAAAAAAATCTAGTCACGAGAAAGAATTTGGATGTGTTAAATATTTAAAATTTTTTTCTTCAATTATGTTTAGTATATGAGAAATAACCCAGGTTCATAAACTATTTCTTATATTCTCCTGATTTTATATTTAGATTGTTTCCATTTCCATTGTGTAATCATCTAGATGTGATTATTTACAGATTTTGTTGTTGTTGCAGGTTTTGGAAAGGGATATAGGGAATAATTCAAATCACACATACTTTTGTTCTGCTGTTTTTCTTAGTTTTTTTCTCTTGCCATGGATTTGACTACTTTTCATGTTCAATTAACATTCTGCTAAATAATTACTGATACTGTTTTAATCGGTTGTGTCCATTATTAGTGATAGCTCAAGTCAGAAGAAAATTGAAACCTGAGAGACCTATGGTTATAGCATCTTCTCTTTTTCTTTTACCATCAACTGCTCTGAGGACTTTGTACAAACCAAAGTCCAGATGTCACAGGAATAATTTTAGTGACTCTGGCATCAGGTCTCCAGCATGCATGGAGCATTATAGAGGAGAAACTCAGGATCAAACATTTAGAGGGAATTAAAGAGTGGTCAGGCACAGCTGGTTTCTGCCCCAGGCCTTTTCACTGAGTCAGCGGCCACCCTCCTTGCTGGAACAGTGAGCTGCTTTAGCAACAGGTATGTAGTTCAGACCATGCCGGTAAGGTTTGGTGTCTGTGTCAGGGCTGGAGGAAGGCCCAAGGAACCTGTCCTGTGGAAATTGCTAGTCGACAGTTGTATGCACATCTTTCCACGTGCCAGCCCTTAGTCTTGCTTTAGATTTTGGACTGAGTTTTAAGAATCTGTATCTTCCTCCATGAGGAGCCTATACCCTCAATGCTATTACTCCTTTTTTTTTTCCCTTCTCTTTTAACTTTAGGTGTTCAGGGGGTTGAATAAAACCTGCGAATGAGTGGGCCATAGCAATGTTCCTACACTCCAGAGTATACTTGTTATGAGTCCTCTTCTTCCTGCGTGCGAAAGCTTAGACCAAAGCAACAGGTCTGGAGGAGCTGGGTTAGCAAACCAACGCTCCCCTGCATGAGGGGCTTCCAAATGCTCGGGGGACCTTGCCCAAGCTGCTGTCTTCTTCAAGATTGTCTACTGTGTGTCTCATAGCATGCAACCTTTCTCCCTTTCTCGTCCTACTTATCCTTGAAGACTGGGCTGCGATGAATAGAAGTGACCCTTCCCTCCTTTGTGGCCTCGCTAGACTCTTCTCTTTACATAATTCTGTCATGGCATGCATGTCAGGTTGGCAGCTGTTATGGGTTCTGTTCTTTGGCTTTACCTTCAAGGAGCTCAGGCACGTAAGTTATT